ACATCTGTATAATAGAGGTGGTATTGTTTGACTTCCATTTGTGAAGTTTAAATGAGATTTGTTATTGTTGTTTTTATGTTAATCCCTAGTACATGGCCTACTGTAAACACCCAGGACACCCAGGATATGGTCATTGCTGTTTGATTTTCCTCATCCCCAGTCTCAAGGGGAAGCCAGGACAATGAGAACAGTCACTTGCCATCAGGACTCACTGAAAGGGTCCCAGGGTGGGATGGTGGGGAGATAAGAACCATGAGAGAAGTTGGCACAGAGGTGTTTTGGGAGAAAGGGTCCAAGATAGGCAGAAAAGAAAATGTTGCCAGTTGATGGGAAAGAAAGGAAGTCAGAGGGCTTAGACACTGAGGGGGACAGAACATCTCCATATGCACTCTCATCTCTTGTAGTCAGCAACAGGTATCCACGGGGAGGGCCCTACATCATCTGCTACCCTGAAGGATCTGGAGGTAAGAGGCTCTGGACGGAGGTGCAGTGACCCTGCAGGCCAGCCCTCCCGCCTCCTCCCACAGCGGGGACTGGGTGCCCCTCTGCCAGTTGAGACAGCCCACACACACCCCAATCCTAATGATTGTTCTCTCTACCTCTCCCCCCACTCCTCCTCCACCTCCTTCTTGCTGCATGTGCCTCAGAGGCTGTGCCAAGAGCTAGCAGTAGTCCTGGACTCAAGGTCCATAAAAATCAGTCAACTGAAGAACACCATCAAATCTCTGGCAAGAGTCCAGTGGGGTTCCCTGATTCCACGCTGCCAATATTGGGCTCCAGTTTCCCCTTGGGGCCCTGAAGAATGGGACTGGGGTCCCCTGGTGTCAAGGGCAAATAGGGAGTTGGGGTACCCAGGCCTCAACTGGAGGGAACCCAGAGCATGCAGCATGGCTCTTCTTTTGCTGTCCTCTTTGCTGACTCTCTCCAGTCACCCCTGCTCCTTGCTACACATGCCTTGGGGTTGTTGCTCCTTGGGGAAGTGCTAGCCTGATTGGTTGTCGGGGCCCCGTATTTCTGCCGTGACTCAGTCCCTAATTTGCTCTTTGATTCTGGACAAGCCACCTCTCCTTTTTGAGCTCATGTTTCCAGAGGAGATACGGAGTATCAGAGTATCTTTCTGTTAGTTCTGAGAGTCAGAGATTTAAAGGCCCCCTGTAGTGGAAATCTCAGTGCCAAGGGCTCCTGTCTGTCCTTTTCCATCCTGTATCTGCTGTGAAGAACTGTACCTGGCCCATTTGTGCTCAGAAATGTTTATTGAATGAACGCACTTTTCTAAATCACAACCTGGCAGAAGGGGGGCCTTTCTCAAACTCTATCTCTAGAGGTTTATGTTACTCTCTTCTCAAGAGATTCCGGATTCAGACTTTGAGTTCTGTGGTTGTTGGCAAAAACCAACAAAGACCAAAATCCTCTGTCCTTGAGAGCTTGAGGAGAGTTTACCAGGTCATGTTCCTATTGGGTCTGAGAACTTTGCCTTTAAAATCCATCCCTGGCCCTGCCTACCGCTTCCTGGTCTGGGGAATAGAGTTAAGGGCCACCCTCCATCATCTTAATTTGACTCTCTCCACAGAAAGAACAGAAGAAACAAGTGCAACATCAGCTGGAAGTAGTAACGTGATTTCTTTGTTTGCTCGCGACATGACTGCTGGGTTTGGGGGGCACTCAGATGTAGAGGCCCAAGTCTCATCTCACCCATTCCCAGCCTGGGGAAGAAGACTAAACCCTCAGATTCCACCCCATCCCTACAGGGTCCCTGATAACCTGGTCCCATGGGTGGGCCTGTCCTGGGGCATTGGTGGCATTCTGGGGGCCTGTCTCTTGCTGTGCCATCTCTGCCTCCCCAGGGTAAGAGCTTTGTCTTCCTCTTCCTATAGGAAAAGAAAGCAAACAATGAGAAACAAAGCCAAAAGGCAGCTAGAGGTGAGGGGAGGCTGTGCAGTTCCCTCCTGTCTCTTCCAACTTGACTGAGTTCTTTTAAAACACCAGACCACAGGCTTGGAAATGCCTTGATCTTTACTGACCAAGTTGTATATTGAGCCAAGCCCAGCCCTTTTAAGGGGCACTGTGTGGAATGGCCAGGCTCCTAGGATCGAAACTTCTCACTCTTCACCATCCAGACCTCGAGCCACAGTAAAGGGTTATCGAGTGGCAGTTAGAGTGATCCATACGGGACAGGCACTGCTGAATGCACACGTGACATGCGTAAGGTTTTGCAGAGGGAGGGATGTGGAAGAAAGATGACCCCAGTTGGCCAGGAGCAGGTGAGGACCAGTGACGGCCCTTCCTAACTTCTGTGCCCATTCTTGCAGTTGAAGGAGTTGCTTAAACAAGCCCAGCTAGAGAGAGATGAATATGATCAACATATAAAAGGAGAGAGGGCCTGGTGGCAGCAGAGGATGAGGAAAATGTCACAGGAGGTGAGATCTGACCCTTCAGCCCCCTACCTTTGATAGGCCACTGGATCTTTCTGGGCATCTGTAAAATGGGGATAGTACAGCCAGAGGTGGACATGGGTCTGGCCTTTGTGGAGGTGGGAGCAGAGAGGGAGATGGCAGCCTGTCCAGCCACCAGCCCCTCTCTCCAGGGCCCTTTGCCCCCGTGCTTTGGGTAGGTTCGCACCTTGAAGAAGGAGAAGAAGCATGATACATGATGGGTAGAGAAGCTGGAGAGGAGCTTGTCCAAACAAAAACCAGGTGGGTAAGATGGGGCTGGCATGGCCTGGGAGCAGGCCTGGCATCAGAGGGCCCTGGGGGTGGCTTAGAGTGCCCCAGGGAGGTGGGTGTATCATCCTTTGCATTGTATCATCCTTTGAGGGCTTTGAGGCAGAGGGAAAGGGGTCTGTGCCGGGAGACAGCAAGTCTTGTCATCTCCATGAGCCTCAGTGTCCCCATCAGCAAAGGGGGCCCATTGTCAGCCACCCACAGTGCTCTCTATCTCAAAGTGGTTCAGAAGATTGGCTACCATCCGGATGCGAGGAATTATTAGCAGTGAGGCCAAGTTTGGGGAGCCTGAGGTGAGTTGTGCACCAACAGGAGGGTTTTTTGTTTTTGTTTTTTTTTTTTTTGAGAATCCAGAGGGCCTTATTGCCTGCTTCCTTTCTCAGCTGAACCCCTGCCTCTGGAGCCTCCAGCAGTGCCCTCTGAGGTGGAGCTGCAGCATCTGAGGAAGGAGGTTGAGAGAATGGCAGGAGAACTCCAAGCCCAGGTGGACAACAATCAGCGCATGAGTGTCCTGATCTGGGGGCAAAAGGAGAGGCTTCAGGAGCAGGAGGAGAGGCTTCAGGAGCAGGAGGAGAGGCTTTGGGAGCAGGACGAGAGGCTTCGGGAGCAGGACGAGAGGCTTCAGCAGCTGGCTGAGCCATACAGTGGCTTCGAGGAGCTGGTGTGTTGCCCACCTGGGGAGCCTGCCCTCCTCCCTAGCCCTCCAGGACTTTGTTTCCCCACCTGTAAAATGCGGCAGTGTAGCCCTCACATGAAATGTTACTTCTAAAGGCACCTGTGAGCCAGAGCGCTGCGCTGGAGGCTGTGGAGAGAGGGGATGATTTTTCTCACCTGCCTCCGCTCTTCCCGGTGCCATGGGAGGCAGACACCAAGTTCTTGGTTCTCCAGCTGCAGTGGGTGGCTGCTGATTGCTTCTCTCTGTCCAGAACAACAAGAACAAGAGCGCACTGCAGTTGGAGCAGCAGGTAAAGGAGCTGCAGGAGAAGCTGGGTGAGGTGAAGGAAATGGTAACCTCTGCCCCATCTAAGAAGGGCTGGGAAGCGGGCACCAGCCTCTGGAGAGGGGAGGTGCCAGGCCAGAGGCAGCTCCAGTCTTGGAGCAGGTGACCCCAGCACCCTCCAGGGCAGTCCTGTGACTGTTTCTTGCTTCCTGCCCTCTGACTATTAGACATGTGGAGCCCTGGGCTCCTCCCAGGTCTGGACATCATCATCCCAGCTAGAGGCATGGAGCCCCCCAATCACAGGGGAAGAGACAGTGGTATATGAGGCTCCTATTCCAGGCACGGTGGCTCACGCCTGTAATCCCAGCACTTTGGGAGGCTGAGGCAGGAGAATCACTGGATGTCGGTAGTTTGAGATCAGCCTGGCCAACATGGTAAAACCTCATCTCTTATTACAATTACCAAAAAAAAAAAAAAAAATTACACACACACAAAAAATTAGCCAGGCATGGTGGTACATGCCTGTAATCCCACCTACTCAGGAAGCTGAGGCATGAGAATCGCTTTAGCTCAGGAGGTGGAGGTTGCAGTGAGCTGAGATTGCACCACTGCACTCCAGCCTGGGTCACAGAGTGACACTCTGTCTCCAAACAAAACAAAAATGCTCCTTAGATTAAAACTGGATTCCAGCCTCAGTTCCACAGGTCACCATTCAAGTACTTTGCATCTCTAAGTCTCTGTTTGTTTAACTTCAAAAGGAAGTTAGTATTTTCCTTACAGAGGTGCTGAGGATTAAATGAGATAATACTTGGAAAGCATTAGGCATGTAGCGCACTTAGCAGATGGTGGTTGTCTCCCACTGCTTTTCCACCATTCTGTGGCCTACAGTTTAAATGGTGAGAAGAGGGCATGCGATTTGAGGCTGGGGAAGGAGGCATGGGGTTCTAGGAAAAGGAGGCAGTCATTTAGGCCCAGAGCAAGGGACCAGGGACCTGGGCAGATGACAGAGCCCCACATTTCCCTGGCTACCCTGTTAATGGTCCCAGAATCTGGAAGCCAGCCACCACGTGCCCTCACACCCAGGGTCTTCCTGCAGGTGGAGCTGAAGAGCCAAGAGGCTCAGAGTCTGTAGCAGCAGCCAGACCATCACCTGGGTCACCTGCAGCAGTATGTGGCCACCTATCAGCAGCAGGTGTCCGCCTATCAGCAGCTGACCTTTGAGAAGGAGGCGCTGCACAGGCAGTTACTGCAGCAGACCCAGCTAACGAACCAGCTGCATCAGCAGGAAGCTTGGGGCAAAGTGGTGGCCAACCTGGCCCACAAAAAGTTGCAGGAGACCCAGGGGAGGGAGCTGCTGAGGCCGGGGCCCTAAGGGGGACAACCTGGCAAACTCCGTGCCCTCTCACCCTTTCTTGGCTCCTTACGAGTGCCTGGAAACTTCCAGCCAGCAGAACCAGCCCCTACAGGCCCAGCTGAGCCTCACGGCTCTCCCTGGGGAAGGTACGGGAACCTGCTCAGAGGAAGAGGAGAGAGCCCCAGGAGGAAGGGGGTACTGTTAGCAGCACAGGATTAAGGAGTTGGAAGAGACCTTTAGAACAGCTGGTCCTTATGCCGACTGGGTGCCTGCACTAAGTTCGGCATCAATATGGTGACTTCCTGGGAGCGGGGTCCACCAAGTTGCCTAAGGATAGCTGAACTGGCCCAGGTCAGAAATGGAGCAGGTCAGAACTCCAGCACTGACCAGTAGTGGGACTGTGCCTGGGCAGTATAGCAAGATCTTTGTCGTTAAAAGTAAAAATAAAGAACAGCAGCTTATTCCTCTCTGGGTAAGGGCTGGCTCAGGGTTACACAGTGAGGGTGGAGGCAGAGGTGGGCCCACAGTACCTCCCTTGTTGGGTTGTCTGAGGACCCTTTTGGCCACCCCCCACAGGAGATGGAGGAGGACATCTGGACAGTGAGGAGGAGGAGGCACCTCAGCCCATGCTGACCGTCCCGGAGGACCTGGAGAGCTGGGAGGCCATGGTGAGCCTGACTCCCCCTGCACCCATTTTGCCACCTTCCTGTGTGCTCCCTCCAAGACCCCTTTATGCTCTTGGTTTCCCTGTCTTCTGATTTCTCTGGACCCTCACCCCTTCTGGGAGCCAGTGGTCAGACACCATTTCACCTGTGACCAGCAGGTGCACTCTGAGGCCTCAAGGGAAGGGGCTGCGCTCCACCTCTCTGCCCGTTTGTTCTGTGTGTGCCCCTACAAGAATGCTCACTTCTTGCCCTCAGGTGGCATTTTCAACCCCACTGGAGCCAGTGCCCAGGAGGAGCAGGCATGGTTATGAGAGCAAGTGAAAAAGTAGAGGGTGTGCTGCCAGCGCCTGGCTCACCCGGTGGCCTCTGCCCAGCAGAGGCCAGACGCAGTGATCCCAGCGCCAGTGACTGGGGGCAAGTCTGTGAGTGGGGAGATCCACCAGGCCCTGCAGGAGGTCATGGAGAAGCTGGAGGTGAGTGAGTCCTGGCATGGGCCAAGAAGGGCAGGGGTGGGACAGGTCGCTGCCGAGATGTGACACCATTATTTTGGCTCCAGAGTGGCCTTATGGACCTCCTGGAGGAGAAGGCGGACCTAAGGGAGTGGGTGGAGAAACTAGAACTTTGATTCATCCAGTACTGGAAAGACAGACGCCATCAGTGAGCTGGAGGCCAGGGCATGGCAGTGGGAGCTGCAGGGCCATCAGAGGGGTCTCAGCGTCTGAGCCCTGTCCTCCCTCAGGAAAGTTCATCACCTTATAATAGAGCCAGGGGATAGTGCCAAAGATGCGGCACTGGGAGGCCATCAGGTCCAGGACAAGGAGGAGATGAAAGTAGGGTGTGCAACATCTCTGATGGGGTGGTGGTGGGCGTGAGGGTGGGCGCTGGTAGCTGCATGACAGCTGAGCACTCCTCTGTCCAGGTGAAGCTGCTGGAGCTGCAGGAGATAATGATGTGGCTTGTGGGGACTGCAGCGAGGGGCATGGCAAATTCCCGGCCACTGCCCAGAACCCTGCTGATGAACCCAGTCCAGGAACCCAGCCCCTCCAGGAGCTGGGGGCTGCCAACAAGCATGGTGGTGAGTAAAGTCCTCAGGCGGGTGGGCAGGCAGGGGCAGGAGAGGCTCGCACTGGGCTCAGATCCCCGCCTCCCTCTCCCCAAAGATCTTTGTGAGGTGAGCCTCACCGACAGCGTGGAGCACCCAGGCTTGGGCATCAACCCCTGTGTGCCATTCTTTTGCCGGGC